CTACCCCACCGCCCCTCATGGTATACTATACACAATACCATACATAATTGGCACTTCATGGAGCTCTTTGCAGTGTTAGGGATTTACATACAAGAGGATAACATTTTTAAAAGGCATACATGCCCTCATCAAAATACAATGAAGGTTTGTTTTGTTTTTCGCCAAAGAATATGTGGACCAATGAAAAAGATACTTTAATTAAACGGCTCACAAGTATTTGGGTTATGTTACAGCAAGTTGGGCATACGTAGGAAGATACCTCAAAATGAAGCTGGCATTTGATGTTTACGATTTTGGTGAAATCCATGTAACACAGGACAAACCAAGGATCATAGTAGGAGCAAAGATAGTATTATCTGATCCTGTCATGTGTAAGGGACATAATCCTTCATATGCTCTTGAAGGGATACATATCATGTTTGTGTCCAGTAGACAGGATCGGCTGGGTGTGTTTGAATCCTTGATTCAACCTGACAAAGATCCATAGCTTCTTGTGGGTTTCACGTGACAAAGTATGAGGTATCGCATTTGTAGACTTTCCTCAATGTACTTAGACCACAGTGACAAAACTGAAACATTGCGTAACATACAAAATCGCAAGGCCTTGCAAAGAACATTAATTCAGATAAGACGTCTGTAGAAAAATAATACATCAAACGACGGTAAATACGAACTCAAAGGGAACACAATAGTTGGTGGTACACACTTCAACTAAAATATGCAGCAAGTGTCTGGGACCAGTGTCCATTACAAACATAGTTTATTGTATTTATATTAAAATAAAGTTTCGTCTTATGACAGATATTTCTTGTTCACTTTTATGCCAGGTTGGCCTATTTACCTCTGTGATGTTCATTTCAACACTGAACACATCAAACTCCATTCACTGCCATGTGCCAGCCTTGACTCAAGCACTATTATGCATGCTGCCATTACTGAAAAATTCCATGTACATAAATGATGAAAGCACAAGCCATGCTCAGTTTACATTGCTGTACATGAAATTGTACATCAGGGGTGGATATAGATTCTTGAAAAAGGGGGGTGGGGGGTGGAGGGGGTGAGCACAGGTCATTGTCACCCGTTTTCATGCAGGTGTCAATCAGTGTACGAAATAAGGCCCGTCCGACCATCCGAGATGGGCTAGATTTCTGACAGGCGGTCTAAATTTACAGCTAGCCAGCCTGATGTCTAGCAAACATTTTAGATAATATGTTCCATACATCTGAGTAAATTCACCATATCGTAAAATCAATTTTCCAAAATAAGCGTTGACATATATTATCACTAAAACAGCGACACCTATTGATGCGCAGAGTTCTGCAGTAAGTAAGTGACTCAGGTTCATTAAATTATCCATATTAACTAAAACTTCAGTTATTTTCTTTGGATTGTCTGGTCTGGTTAAATTCAGTTAAGGCTGGTAACATTTTGAAGGTACCAGCCCTGATGTCTACTTGGGTTTTTGGCTTATTTCATACACTGTGTCAATGGTCATTTAGCAAGTTTCATGACAATAGAGTGTGTGTGCACCCCTGCAAAACCCCCACCAACAACCCACCCAACCCCAACCCCCAGATCCACCTATATACATACATGTATACATAACTTGAGCAAGAATCAATATACACATTTGTTACATGTATAAATAAACTGAGTTCTGCAGACACCTGCCTCAGACTGAGATGGTATTATGTGGAGCAAGATGCATTTAAAAGTCAAAATGTGATAAACATTCAGGAAATGACAATACACACTAATATGTGGAGATTATTTACTATTTCGGGGTCTGGAATCTTTTAAGGAAAAGAATAGTTTTGGTCAGGAAACAAAATGAAAACTGATAAATAGGCTATCTTTTTCAGAGAATCCAGTCAACAGTGTTTGTTATGTGCAACATTGGAGGCAAAAACATATTGTCCAGTATTTTCTGGAATTTGGGTTCTCTATCCTTATATTCCAGTTTACAAATTTGTATTTTTTTTAGATTCCAACTGACTAAATGTAAGATACCATGTCCACATGTCAAAATAGGTTCACACAATCATCAAATGGACATGATGAGGATGCCATTTATGGACATTCATGTGATGGACATTCACGATATTCACAACCCACTGCAATTTCACAGGTGACTGGTTCAGTCTGAGTGAGTGAGTGAGTGAAACTTGTAAATCATGTGGGTCAGTCTGAACCTTCAGCTAACCTGTATAAAGTGCACCAATTCACATGGGCCTTCCTATCCCAGGTAAACACAACATGAACATCCATACTTTCCTCCATCCTCGATAATCTCCTGGGTATATGTTCCGATGAACCTCCACTTACCCTGGAGGCATCTACGGCTCTGCCCGATAATTTTATTACCTCCCTTGACTGGCTTTTTACCCAATGTGGTATCTACGCTGGGAAGTTGAGTGTACCAATCACAAGGCTTCTATCATAACTCACTTCCACTTATTCTATCTAACCGATTAAACTTGGCAACACAATTGTTGCAGAGGTACTCTGAAAGAGGTAGAAGGAGTTCTTGCATATATTTTTTTAAGGTTTCAGACTTGTCAATTTGTCTGTATGATTTTCCCCCTACACGTGAATCGCACAGCAAGCAAACCTTCGCGGCTGCGGCCGCTATCTTCGTTGACACTGGCAAGTTCAGTTGTAACGGCGTATTTGACTGGTTACTGAGAGAATGCAGATTCAGCAAAGGGAGGTAATAAAATTATCGGGCCGAGCCGTAGATGCATTCAGGGTACTAGTGGAGATTTATCGGAACGTATACCCTGGAGATTATCGAGGATGAACTTCCTCATAAGGATGACAATATAAAGGTCAACACAATTCCAGTGTGCGAAAAATATGCATCAAGTCATAAAGCGCACGTAAAATCATCATCAACCAATTCAAAGCATTACAAATGATTAGTCACAAGAAGTTGCAAACACTAATTACTGCTCTTTCAACTGACACTAGCTAAAATCATTATTACCAACAATATCTAATCAGGTGGGATTATAAATCATCATCATCAACCAATTCAAAGCATTACAAATGACTAGTCACAAGAATTTGCAAACACTAATTACTGCTCTTTCAACTGACACTAGCTAAAATCATTATTACCAACAATATCTAATCAGGTGGGATTATATCAACGGCAATACAAAAATAACAACACTCTAATCAACAAATCTTACACTATCCTACTCATTGTGCTGTGCCAGACCTGAGTTTATTGAATATCTTTGATAAAACTGCATCAGTGATAAAAACATGCATGTAATTCAGGAAATCAAATCCTGACAGTCAAATTGTTTTACAATTATTTGCCATGTTTAATGTGAAAATATTTTCCTACAGTTATCATGGGAATTGACAAGAGTCTGTACAATCCACAGACTGACAAACATTCATGAAACACGCTGTAATCTCAACATCCCAGAAGATTAAGCTCTCAAAGCATGGGGGACCTCTGAGCTGGAATTTTCATGGGGTCACCTCTGTCAATGCACCAATGACACAGTTTTTTGGTGATGAGGCACACTTAACATACATCTTGAGATGAGTATACATAATTCACAAAACAAACTGCAGTTGGTAGTGACGTTATTTTGTTGAAACGGTTTGGTCCAGACTTGATAAAACTCACGTCGCTGACACAGATGGAATAATGCTGGGTGTGGCATTAAACAACAAACAAACATATACCCATGGAAACAAATAAGGAAACACATGAAAGTACCCATGTTCCTTTATCTACTGTAATCATAGTTATTTTCGCGTGGGATTAATTTTCGCAAAAAGATTGTGCGTCAATAATCATACCAAGCGAAATATTCATGGTCAAGTCATGACAAAATTCAGACAAATACACGAGTAGGAACAACATGCAATTTGTTTAATGCAGCCAATCAGTGATTTGACCATGTGAACAACACGTGTTCATAAACAACAAACACTACTTTATGATTTCTATGTTTAATTATTGTAAGTACTGGTATACACTCTTCCTTAATTTGTTATCAGTTAATCTCTCATATAGGACAGGTGTTGTCATGTTGACACAAGTATAATCCCACTTCTCTCTCTCATTGTTTTAGTAAACACGATTCAATTATGGCGGCTAGCTTTGATCATTGCATGTCTACAACTGTGCTAACAGGTCTTTGGTGAACTTTCCGCGAAAATTGCACCCCGTGAAAATATATACGATTACAGTATTTCCAGAATTTCACCCACTGTGTACCGGTAATACATACCTTGTGAAGAAACCTGGAAAAGAATAAAGGAACACTTGTACTGTCATGTGTTCCCTTATTCGTTTCCATTAGTATATTTCATCCACCTTGAGCTGCTATAGAGATCTCAGTGTCATGAGCACTGCAGTAACAGACAAAAAACATGTCTGAGATAACAGATTACAAAAATTTCAATACATTTATACTGGTCCCAAAATGTGTTAAATTTAACAGCACAAAAATATATATATTTTAAACTCAACATGACTTCAATGATTTAACATAAGTGTTAAGTTCAAGGCTGCAATTCAGGCACTTTCAATAGCAAAAAGGCAGAGCAATGACATAGCTGTAGGCATCCTTACATTGAACTGAAATCTGTGACATCCAGCTGAATGGTCATATACCAATAAGCAAGAGCTTAAAATAACCAAATGACATGGGCCCAACTTCCAATAGTCATGTGCAGTATAACATATCAACATGAGACTCATGGATTTGGAATGAATGGAATCAGTGTTGGGAATCGGAAACCAAATCCACTATCGATTATTGGAGGAAGTGTGGTGAAGGATTATCGATTTTAATCAAAATATATACATCTTAATGAAATCACCAATTTTAAGGGCTTTCCCCCAGGTTTTTTCCAATTAATATTTTTTTATAACAAATACTGATCTCCAGACCAAATTTCACAAATGTGTTATAAAAGTAATCTTTTGAGATTTCTTCATTTTCCCTTTTGATGTTTGTACCTTTTTAACCAATCCCACTGACAGTTTCCAGTTCTTTTCAGAGACCAATTTGAAACTAAAAATTCTACATTTTTTTCATTTCAATGGTTTTGCAAATAATATATAAACAAAGCAACAAAATATGGCCAAAACATCTTGTGATTAATTTCATAGCCTGCAACACGGGACAGTATTTCCAGCTGAAGCTGTCAAGCTCCCAACCACAAAATCTACACCCATTCCCCTCCTTGACATTTATTTCTGTGTATTTTGCAAGGAATATTCCAATACATTAGGTCAGCATCTTGTATCCCAAGGAAATATATCTTGTGCCACTTGGTCTCCCGGAGACTTTATACAATGATGAGAACTCCAAGATGTTCAGCTGCATGTTTCATGACTATACAGAGTAATGACAAAGCCCAGGATACAGAGTAATGACTGCAAAGCCTGGGAGGTTCAACCAGTGCCTTTTTGACTCCACTGACCAATGATGGAACCCCATGTATCTGTCTTTGTGCCTTATGACTATGTTAAACAACATCTGTCTTCAGTCTGATATGTATAACACAAACAGTGAAAACCCCATATTTCCCCTAACCATCCAACAGATAATTAGCTGTTTCAAAAATAGAGCCTCATCATTTTCTTCTCCTGACTTCTAATGCCTAAATGGACAAAATGGAGAGTACCTTAAATTCCTAAATTGTCACTAACAAACCAATATCATCACTATTGGAGTGAATAGAATTGTTTTTGCAAATGATCCAAACTTCTGATCAGCAATACTGTGATTTATAAACTTTAATGTAAATGACATAGTAACTTAAAAAATCTGGATGTCTTTCAAGGGAATTTCCAAGAGACTATTTTTTTTTCAAATTTCCTACCACAGGCATCATGTGAAAATTGCATCGAGATATGGGTCCAGCCATGATTACAAATTCTGTCCCACCATCCTACACGTCAGCTGAAGGGACAAAATGCACATCTCCCAAACCTGCCATCACTGTGTCCATCTCTTCAGTTTCAAGTTCTTTAATTTCTTGTGACTCAAAACCATTTTCCTTGAATTTACTCCTCCCTGTTTCGTATCTGTCTGTAACAATCCTCGAACCCTCCTCCAACTCGCAGATCTCCCTTTGACCATCACCAACTTTCATTGCACCATTACCATCCTCCTCATCTGATGGTTTATCATCGGAGGAGGCTGCTTTAGGCACTTCATTTTCTGTTATACTTTCCTTGGTTTCAGGAAAATGCGGACTTCTGGACTCATTTTCGGTGGAAGGGCTGTGCCCACAATCATGTAGCACCTCTTGCACCTCACTGTACCATGATTGTGAAGGTGTCCCTGCATTTCCCTGTGTGTCAAGTTGATTTTGGTTGAAGGAGGATTCCTCCCCATTATTGTGTAGTATTGCCTCTCCTGCAATGTCATGTGGCTGCTGAGAGGCTTTCCCTGAATTTCCCAGTTTGTCAATAGTCTCACTTTCTGAAGTGTTGTCATCTAACATCTCTCCTGGAACACCTTGACTAGTCATCTCCTGCATCTCAACTGACCCTGCACAAAATGGTGATGATGCTGAAAGTGATGGAGACGTTGACAACGATGTTGACTGTGAGGGCTGGTCCGAGGCTGGTGTGTCGCCAGGAGACAGGTTGCTGCTGAAGCTGCTTGTAGTACTTGATTTCTTCAGCTCATCCTTGGTGCGGACACCCACAACTTTCATGATGATATCGAGCTGCTTCATGTAGTCACTGTGCCCATTTACCTTCAAGGAGATAACAAGCAGGAACATTATCAAGGATATGTGCAGTCAGTTCAGTATCTCACAGGGAGATGGGGTAGCCTAGTGGTGAAAGCGTTTGTAAGTCAAGCCGAAGACCTGGGTTCGATTCCCCACATGGGTACAATGTGTGAATCCCATTTCTGGTGCCCCTCACCATAATATTGCCGGAATATTGCTAAAAGCTGCATAAACTACTCACTCGCTCACTCACTCAGTACATCACAATTAGAGATATAACATAGCTCATGATTAACCAACTACTAACCAGAACAACAAAACTAAAACAGGGTTTTACATGACACGTAATTCCTGTGTATTTGACGCAACAATTTTGTAAATGCCTCTCAAAATATTATCCTACGAGTCAAGCTTGGCGCAAGTTTTGTGGGTGGCCCTCACAATTCAGTTCAATAAAATCGATTTGATAAGCAAAAAATGATATTGTTCGATGATAGTTTGACTTTTACAGAGCTGTCAGATTGTTCCAGAGAACTCAGAGGAGACAGTAATCCTGGCTGTGTGAATTGAACAATGCTGTAGTTTCATTTGGTGGTGTGACATATACAGTTACATACTGTGAGTGATTAACACAAAGAAATATTCAAATTTCCATGACTCCCAAATATTGAATATGTCTCCCAAAAATAAATATTGTGAGTCACCATGACTCCCATTTTTAAAAGTCTGTGTAAAACTCTGACTAATATATTTCTGGTCATTGACTAATGACTAAGTCATTTCTGGCTTAGCAGAGACTGGCACATAATCTTCATGGTAAGGCTGGTCCCAGTGTACACAAAGCCATCATAGCACAATGACATTTGGAAGTCTATGTTGAAGTAAGGGAGTTATGATAACTTTGTGGAATGGACCAAGTGGTTTGGCTTGATACAAAACAGTTTTCTAAATACATCACAGCCTGTCAGCTCTGTATGAGAGAAAAGCCCTAAAAGGGATGCTAGCATGGGATGTTAGGTTACCATTTTGGAGAAACTTATGAGATTTATTTTCAAAATTGGTATAAAGAAAAAAGTCTAATAAAAAGTCATGAAATAATGAAACTGACTTACACCATTTTCCTCCAGCAGTTGCTTTATGTATTATGAATGAGTGAGTTTAGGGGGTCACAGAAATGGGCTTCACACATTATGCCATTGTGGGGAATCGAATCCGGGTCTTCGGCATGAAGAGCAAACGCCTTAACCACTAGGCTACCCCACCAACCCTTATCATGGATGAGGTCAAGCAAGGTGATGACTGATACATACCACATCACTGAGGTCAATGTTGTGCATCCTGCGGTTATTCCACTTGACTGGTCCAAGCCCTGCTATCTTTATCTGAACTGAGGCAGTTCGGTACAGGAACTTCAACAGCCAGTCTCCTCTGTTGGCAACAAGCATCATACATCGTAAATAGCACTGCTGTTAACAATATATCATAACATACAGAATTCTCACATTTATTACAATAAAAATGGTTTTAGTTCTGAAAGTCCAAATGAAAAGCCAGCACGTCATTGTTCAATTTCCCAGTCAAAAGGCATCCTGTAGTAATAATAATTCATGAATTTCTATAGCGCATCATTCACAGTAAAGTGTTGGATGTTCTTTGAAGTGCTGGTGGAGACAGATTCAGTTTGTCAACAGATATTAAAATACATTCCCTGTCGCAGGCTTCACATATTACAAGCACAAGCTGCCCTGACTTGAATCTACATAGTAAAATCATAGTAAACGAATGCATCAGTAAAGTTGAAATTAATTAGTTTTAGAAGGACTTTCTCAACATATTCCATAAGAACTGGTGAAAATGATGAGTTCTTATTGGTGATGATCTCACAGAAACTGTTTGCAGTGGACTGACTGACTGACTGAGTTTAGTTTTATGCCGCTTTTAGCAATATTCCAGCAATATCACGGCGGTAGACACCAGATATGGGCTTCACACATTGTGCCTATGTGGGGAATCGAACCCGGGTCTTCGGCGTGATGAGCTAACTCTTTAACCACTAGGCTACCCCGCCGCCCCTGTTTGCAGTGGAAGAAATGTTAAAATGAGTTAGGTTAATGACAGAGACTTTGAATGAAAGCCTGAAGTGATGGTGTCTTTAACTTCACAGGGGAGGTGGGGTAGCCCAGTGTCAGTTGTCACGCCAAATGCCTGGTTAAATTCCATGTGGGTACATTGTCATTTCTAGTTCCCCCCGCTGCGACATTGCTAGAATATTGCTAAAAGTGGCAGAAACCCAATTCACTCACTCACTCACACTCACTCACTCACACTCACTCATTTGACTTTACAGTTTTGGTAAAATATAAGAGAACTGGTACGATGTTGCAAATCTAGAAACAATATCCAAGCATGTACAGGATTTTAACCCACAACAAAGGCATCAGCACAATGCAAAAACACTGACAGAAGAATCACCTGTGCAATTGCATTACTATTGACTATTTGGTCTAAACGTTGATAATTTTTGAAGGAAAGAAGGCAATGACAGAAGGTTCTACCTGCAATATCCGTTGATGATCTTGCCTGCTAGGACACGCTCCAGAGGTTCCCAGTATTTGGGGTCTCCTGACACAGGGGCCCCCAGTAGAATCACATCCTCCACAATACCTTCAGACCCTGCAAGCCAAACAACATGTTGTCAAAACAGTAGCTCGTTATGAAAACATTAAGTCATACCGGGAATCAGATGGGAGAACTTCATAATCAATCCATTACTTTTGTCTACATTTTCCAGAAACTGGATGTTAAAAAACCTCTTTGTAACCCTGGTCCAAAGTTTTCTGGAGTTTTATTGCAGAGATACATATACATCAAGGTTGAATATTTACACTTAATAATTATCATATCTCCAGGTTGTTATCATATATACCCTAGACCTATGCACCACCAGGTGACCTTAACTTCGTTTTCAGGCTGTTTAAATGACATGAACAGATGTCCAATCATATTGCACTGTACTTCAATGACATTTATCTTACCTCACACATAAATGTTGTTTCCAAATTTTCTATGTTACCCGCTGGGAATGCCGAACTTTGGGGAATTCATTTGGTACTTCGTGTTAGTAATTCTTTATCTTTAATAATTGAGTCACGCATGGTGTATGGAAATTACCAATCTTTTGAGAATGCAAATCAGTGGAAGGGGGATAACTCTTTGGGTTTCTTTTTAATCTAGCGATGTTGACTCCATACTATGATCCGATACCCATGCATCAAACAGTTCATAATTAACATTGAGGTGTTCGTTAAGATAAATACGTTGTTCACTGGTCCCTTGGATCCCATGGGTTGATGTACCCTCTATGTTTGTTTATGTTCCCCTTGCCCTTCGGACTCAGGGAACAGAAATAAACATAGCGTCAACAACTCATGTCTCCCTCGTGACCAGTAAACAACTTATATTGGCAATATCACCAGTAAACTTTAGAGTGTTATGGAAGAGGCAGTCCTAACATAGGCTCCACAGCTATTTGGGAGCTGTCCATGCAAACAATGGAACAAAACAATAATAGCTCTGAAGGTTTATTCATTACACTGGAAAACAACATCACCTTTTCTCTTGCATAGTTCTTCCAAGCATGTAAAGATGACCCTGGCTCCCAGACTGAAACCTATAAGAGTCACTGGCCTCTTCCCCTGGGAACAAAATGTGAAAAGGAAATAACTAACCATCACCAATAGTGTATAGGAGTGTCTATGTGGTTGGCAAAGTAAAAAATTCCTATCTCTATATAATCAAACAGAACACCACATGGTGAAAATGTCCAGAAACAACATTGAGTGAGTGAGTTTAGTTTTACAACGCTTATAGCAATATTACAGCAATATCACGGCGGAAAACACCAGAAATGGGCTTCATACATTTTACCCATGTGGGAAAGATGAAACGGTAAGTGACTGTCACCAAATGAAATTGTAAAGTAACAGACTCCACAAAACACTGCTCATTGCAATCAAAAGATTATAACAACATTTAGAAACTTCAAAAATGTAATTGATTGTGCCTAATTTGGAATTTCATGCCAATGGTTTCACAGGAAATAACTGGTAAAATTGAAGAATGCCAGAAAATTAGTGATCAAACAATACTATTAAATCTAACTGCTATAACTTCATAGTATATCATGAATTCTAGACCTACAGTTTTTGTGTTGTATTGTGCCGAATAGTGTCATTTCATTTCAACTTTAGGGCCTCTTGCATTAGTTTCATCACACTTTTTAACTTGTGATGAGAATGCACATAAAATTGTTTATGTATTTATTCAAATGTTGACTGTGTCAAGCCTTTTATGCTTGCCTGCTAGTTACAGGCTAATAAAATAATAATAACATGCTGAGGAAAAATAATAATTAGATGATGATGGTCCTCATTGACTTGTAGCTTTTGAGGGCAATAATTCTGAACAGTTCAAAGCCTTAATTTTGCAACAAATGGGAAATGAATAAAACTTGTAAAAACTGGTACAAGTATAAACTTTTAGGATTACTGAAAGATGAATTTCTAACGCTTAGAGTCCATAACCTCCTCTCTGGTAAGGTGTAGAATGACGAAAGATGATAATTTTATGGACATACAACTTCTTTATTCTGTGAAAGGTGACGTTTCGACATAGATTCTAATGTCGTTGTCAATCAAGTGATGAAAAACAAATTTCAAACGCTTAGAGTCCGTTACCTGCTCCCTGGCTAGGAGTACTTCCGCTAGCTGTTTCCCAGTTGAGTTGGCTCTCTGTACAGCCACACTCCAGGGGTTGTCAATCACGCTGGCTGCAGACAACAGGGCAGCAGGCCAGGCTATAGCAGCCAACAGACCTGGACAGGGAAAATGCTTTTGCATGTTGAATTCATGCCACTAAAAACAATATCCTGTTCCTTATAACACGAGAATGATTGGTTGGGTGGTTGTTTAACACCACACACACCAATATTCCAGCTATATGGCAGTGGCCTGTAAATAATCGAGTCTGGACCAGACAATCCAGTGATTAACAGCATGAACATAAATCTATGCAATTGGGATACGATGACATGTGTCAACCAAGTCAGCGAGCCTGACCACCTGATCCCGTTAGTCACCTCTTACGACAAGTCTGGGTTGCTGAAGAACAATTCTAACCCGGATTTTCATGGAGAAAGAGGGTTTTCTTTGACATTTTCAGTTTACAAAAGCCCATTCTTATCATAACAAATTTCGAAAAGAATCTTTGGGACTTGTCACATAACTATCTTGAACCCCTACTTGTACTATCAGTATATCAAGACAAGTAACATTTATTTTAATCATAACCACAGTAGGTTACCTATTATTTTTACATACTTTGAATGGCATGGCATATGCAACAAAATGTGGTGCAAACACAATAACTTATAAGAAACTGTGTTTTTTACAGTCCTTCAAAGTGACGCCACATTTAGGGATGAGGTTTTTTAGAGACTGGTAAGTCCTGAGAAACAGGGCTGATATCTGCTTACATGTTTTGGGGCGTAAATCATGACAAACAAACTCCAGTCTGTTATTGCCTGATCATCTGACTTTATACTGAGCTATTATATTGGCACGTTATCTTTCATGGGTCTGCCATAATACATCCATCAGTATTTGATGAAGTTTTATACTGTCTGCAGACCAGGACATCTGGGACAGGACAATTGTGAAAGCTCTCCTTCCTTTGAAGCAACAATAGTGATTTCTAATTGTGCTATTGTCTCCTATTCAGTGTTTTACAACCAAGTCATAAGAGTCATAAGAGCACCCTTATGTATTTCCAAAGGTTTGTCACATTTGCAATCGTTAAGCAAAATTCCATGGTTCAAAATAAATGTCAGATGACAACATTCCTTTTTGTCAAAGGACCATAAGAAACTTCAGGCCCAGGCAAATCAAAGCAATGTTTCCTTTATTTTTGTTACCAAATTTGAAATTGACATGCCAGAAGCAGCCAATTAGAGGTTACTGAATCTAATAAATCACACACTAATTCTTTTGTTTTTTAAATATTTAAACGGATTTCATCAGGAATTTTGTAAATTAGATTGATATGAAAATTAATTACGAAAATTCAAGGAATTTTTGTAAATTAGATTGATATGAAAATTAATTACGAAAATTCAAGACATTATCAATTTTCAAGAGAGTCCGTTTTAAGGTGGTGTGAAGACTGATTTCAAATTTTCTATCAAAATCTTGAGCTCTAGTTACTGGGGAGTATGTGAGTTGTTTTGTCACAGTCAGCAATAAGTAGGACAGATCAGTGAGACCCCTAAATAATTGAAAACCAGTGATACCACCGATTAACGCCATCAGGGTACAAAGGGATCAGTGTCACAAATCAATCTCAGCACTGAGGACATTGTAACTCAAATACTTTGACAAAAAGTTACAAAGGTCACATTACTATGATCACAGATCATACATGGAATCGGACCTGGGTCAAATATTATCAGCTGCATATTAACACACAGTCATCTCTTTAGACAAGCACTGAGTCCAAGGGACCAACTCTGCCCATTTCAGAGTAGCTTAGTCAAGCTAATTGGTTGTTTAAAAAACTTGATGCGTGACAGTACCTGAGAGTATAGTATATTTCAGTGCTTCCTGAGTTGCCATGGTTACAGCACCACTTAAGATATAATCAAAAGCCTTTCCAAGCTCAATCAGGTACTTTGATTCCCATTTCAAACAATACTGCTCTCGGGATTCTGCTAGGGATGTCCATGGCTTCCGGAAATCTAAAAAAACATATCATCATACAGCAATTAGACTCAATTCCAGGAATATGGATGAATTTTAGTAATTCCTAAATGATGTCATAAGATGTATTATTACATGCACTGTTATTGAGCTCTTAGTTTGAGGGATTGGTTGGTTGATTTGCTGTTTAACGCCGCACTCAGCAATATTCCAGCTATATGGCGGTGGTCTGTAAATAATCGAGTCTGGACCAGACAATCTAGTGATCAACAGCATGAGGACTACTAGAATCTGTACTTTACTAAGAAAGTGTAATCCCAAATATATGATATGTTAAGTTTCACCACTTTCTAAATGGCATTGTGTATTCATAGCATGAGCATCGATCTACGCAATACAGATACGATTACATGTGTCAACCAAGTCAGCGAGTCCAACACCCAATCTCGTTAGTTGCCTCTTATGACCAGCATGGGTTGCTGAAGACCAATTCTTACCCGGATATTCACGAGTTAGTTTGAGGGAAGACTATAGGTTAGTGTGTCTATTAATCTTACACAGTGAGTTAACTTGAAGAGTTCCATCTAATGCTGACTTTCACATAATAGGAATTTTAGTCTCTTAGAACATCAATAAAAATCACTGACACTTCTTATCAAATCAAACTATGGCAGTGAGCTATCAAGAGATATCACAGAATGTCAGTATGGTATATGCATGACACACTTGATAATGAAGACTGACTGACTGACTGAGTTTGGTTTTACGCCGCTTTTAGAAATATTCCAGCAACATCACGGCGGAGGACACCAGAAATGGGCTTCACACATTGTACCCATGTGGGGATTCGAACCCGGGTCTTCGGCATGTCAAGCCAACGCTTTAACCACTAGGCTACCCCACCGCCCCTGATAATGAAGAATGTAGCTGAAAACAATACTGACTAAGCCTTTGTCAGTGTTGCACACTACATGTGCTCTGTAGTTTAGGATAAGCGTAATCACCTTGCATGGTGCTTGAGAGCCAGCCGGTCACTGCCACTGTGATGTGCAGCTGTTTAATGACCGGTTCCATGTGTAGCGGTCCTCCAGGAATCAACGGTTCAAACTCAAACTCTTCGATTGCACCAACTCTTCTCTTCATCTTGTAGCCTGAAATGGATTAATTAAAAATCAGCCCTGGTAATACAAAGCAAGAACAATGCAACACAGACAAAAACTGGTCCCAGAAGAATAAAGACAGATAACTGTGCAAGATCAGGTCTATGTTAATCTGGAAATTCAAGATATTAGTGATAATAAAAAAAAACAAACTTTATATTGTTGAAGGGGCATGGTTTAGATTCAATGTTATATTATCGAAGAGAAGATGGAAAATTTAAAAAGTTTCATGGATAAAAATTACTGAAAAATGTCAATATTTACATCTCTTACATATTTCCACATATTTTTGTCATTTCATTAACTTGCACAGAATAAATAAGGTTTACTGGCAACTACCTGGTCTTAAAAATAAGTGATCCGAGTGAATGTTTACTTGCACTTAACCAGGAAACAGTGTATTTTTTTAGAATGAATAATAATTCAGATAATGCAAATGATGCAGATTCTGATAAACCTTGAAACAGAATAAGGATGAATGGGGAGTCTAACCCATAATACCATGTTTCAGGCATGTCCAAGGGATGCAACTCTGCACTAGGAATAAGGCAACTTAGATGATCAAGAGTGAGTGAGTGAGTATAGTTTTACTCCGCTTTTAGCAATATTACAGCAATATCACGGCGGGGGACACCAGAAATGGGCTTCACACATTGTACCCATGTGGGCAATCGAACCTGGGTCTTCGGCATGTCGAGCAAATACTTTAACTGCAAGGCTACCCCACCGCCCCTAGATGACCGGGACTCCCATGCCCTTAATGGTCCGATTTAAAAAATTTCAATGGAGAAATATTTTCATATATGGACCTTCTACAGAAATTTAGCAGCTTACCATAGAGTCTATTGATATCAAATTATTGAAACAGGATTCCACAAAATTAAACATATTTTTAACAAATGGTAACTTATCTGCTTAAAAGACACAAAGATTATCCAAAATCATTCAACCAACCAACAGAGTTAACAGAAATAACTAGTGTCTTGAGTCTGAGAAGTATGTCTCCTGAATTAACCAGCTTTAGTGGCAGAGAGATTGGTAATGGTAACTGATGACATCACAATGATCTGGAAGTCATTGTGATGCAATTTCATTGTTGAGATATCTCCATGCATAATCTCCTGTGAAAGCAAGTTAAGGGTGATAAGACTGATAATCACAGAGCTTATATGACGTAACAAAATTCTCACAGAATCAACAACCACATATGTGCACAGCTCAAATTGCAGTGACACAGTATTGTTGACATGATTGGTTTTGTTTGGCTTGGTTGTTGCTTAACGCTGCACTAAGCGTTTAATTTTCCAGCCATATGGCAGTGGTCTGTGAATAATCGTGTCTGGAACAGACAATCCAGTGATCAACAGCATGAGCATCGATCTATGCAATTGGGATACGATGACATGTGTCAACCAAGTCAGCGAACCTGACCACCTGATCCAGTCAGTCGCCTCCTACGACAAGCATGGGTTGCTGAAGACCAATTCTAACCGGATCTTCACGGGTTGTTGACATGATGTACAAAATGTACAATACAGCATCTATGTCAGTGTTACCTGTAAGTCCAGCCCCTGCTACACCAAACAGGGAACCAATGATGGCTACGCCTGCTGTAGTCCCCAGAGCTGCTGCACCAGCTCCACCAATCAGGGCTCCAGCACCTGCAGCCACCAAGGGAGCCGCCAGACCTCCAGTCAGACCTGTGAATATCACATAGTATGTTGGATCTTTATTACATATGGAACAATTTGACCTGTCACCACTATGATATTACAGTTTAATTTTGTTGACATTGTCCCACTACTTCTTTGATTGGCATTCTTGAAGTTAGGAAATAAAGATTGAGGACAATGTTTATGGATATATAACTTCTATATTGGTGTATATATGCGACGTTTCGACATAGATCCTAATGTCGTTACTTGCTTGACAACAACAAAAGAATCTATCTCGAAACGTCACATATACAGAATAAAGAAGTTGTATATCTATAAAAATTGTCCTTATGACTTATTGTACCGCTTCAACAAATATGATCAGCATCTCATATAACATATAGAATCTATTTCGGAAACGTGGCATATATTGAATAAAGAAGTTGTATATTCATAAAAATTGTCCTAATTCTTCATTGTCCCACTTCAACGAATATGATCAGCATCTCAGATATTGAAGACCAAGACTCAAATATCTGGTTTCTGAAGATTTAAACTGTATTTCACATGACATTGAAGATACTTGATTTGGATTTGTTTTCTTATCTATACATTTGAAGCTAAAGTACTGGGTTCCAAATTAAAATAAGAGCTATCTTCTCTACAGTCATCCTCGATAATCTCCAGGGTATACGTTCCGATAAACCTCCACTAGTACCCAGGATGCATCTACGGCTTGGCCCGATAATTGTATTACCTCCCTTTGCTGGCTCCACCTTCTCAGAGTAGCCAATCAAATAAACCATTGCAACCAAGCTTGTTAGTGTCAACAAAGATGGTGGCCCACAGCCACGAAGGACTGCTTGCTGTGTGACTCAGATTTAGGGAAAACATCATACAGACAAATTGACAGGTCTGAAACCTTAAAAAATATATGCAAGAACTCCTTCTACCTCTTTCAGGGTACCTCTGCAACAATTGTGTTGCCAAGTTTAATCGGTTAGATAGAAGAAGCGGAAGTGAGTTATGATAGAAGCCTTGTGATGAGTATGCTCAACTTCCTAGCGTAGACATCTGATTGGATAAAAAGCCAGCAAAGGGAGGTAATATAAATATCAGCTGTAGCTGTAGATGCATCCAGGGTACTATTGGAAATTATCAGAAGGTATACCCAGGAGATTATTGAGAATGCTCAACAGTGGAACCACTTCAAATTTAAAAACACAGTAGGTTTGGCACCTGACTGACGTCTAATTGGGCTGGTGATGGACCCCAATAGGTAATCTTCAATTAATTCCAAATATTTTTGTTTTAAAAATTGTGCAATGCAACTTTTGTATTCTTTGTATGAGTAATGGTGAATGCCTAGTTAGCTTCAATCACCTGTACAGCATTTAAAGGAAAAGAAACTATGAAAAATGTAGTAATCATATCACGTGATTGCTTCCAATAACATCATAAGCTGAAAACGTTAACTGTTTAAACAATTTTTCAACCACATTCTGAGAGTTTCTATAACTTATCATGTGCGAACATACCTATGATCGTTCCTCCTCCTATTGTTGCAAGACTGATGAGGGCTATCCTTTTAACTTTACTTTTTGTCGCTACTCGCTTCTTTTCTTTGATCTCTTCACTGTAAAATAATGAACAAAATAATATAAAAATCCATACAGACATGGAAATTAAACAAGTGTAACCGGTGTAACAAACTGTACTGTAAGATTTAATGATCACTTCAGTTAGAAGAACTTTTTAGTTCCTGTCAAGAATTTTGTACAATGAACATTACCATGTGTCTAAGGGGACCCCCCCCCCCTTGAAGGTCTGGGTTAGAATGTTGATCTTCAGTAACCCGTGCTTGTCGTAAAAGGCGACTAACGGGATCAGGCTCTCTGACTTGGTTGACACATGTCATCGGTTCCCAATTGCGTGGATCGATGCTCATGCTGTTGATCACTGGATTGTCTGGTCCAGACTCGATTATTTACAGACTGCTGCCATATACATTGTAGCTGGAATATTGCTGAGTGTGGCGTAACACTAAACTCACTCACTCACTCAAAAAGGGGACACTGTATATATTTTTCCAGCGTTCATTCAATATATTTGTGCATACTGGATGCAGACCTTTGAATAAAGTAACAACCTGAATGAGTGAAAAACCAGGAATATCGGGGTTAGAATTGATCTCTAAACAGGATTGGATGGCCAGGCTCACGTACTTGGATGATTTATGTCATAGTATTCCAGTTGAGTGATCAATGCTCATGATGTCAGTCACGAGACGTCTAGTCCTGATTTGATTTTTTTACAGACCATTGCCATACTGCTGCAATATTGCTGAATGCAGAATTAAACAACAAACAAATACAGAAACTCAACAAAGCTCATTATCAAGCTAAGCTTTGCATGAATATTGTTTAATGCCTCATCAACAATTCTGAAGATATTCACAGTAAATTAAACTAATTTGATGACGGACATTAATTGTATGTCTATCATGAAACAAACAGCTGGTACGCACTCTGTCATCACATATTGGTTGCTCCCGAGCGTCTCGGCCAGCTGACACTCAATGTCCTCCAGGACGTCCCAGCTGACGCGGAGCTGCCAGGCAGCATGCTTCACAAACACCCGAACACGGGAATCATAGCAACCTGAAACACACACCACCACACTTCAATACAGTTTTGTACAAATTTAAGGCAAATGCAGATTTAATGCCTTTTCAATGCAAACAGAAAAATTGAAGCCCTGTCTGCACCCTTTTAACGGACCCCAAACCCTGTTTAACTTCAAACATTCAATATTTTTGCCGCCACTGAAGACTGAGATCAGAAGTTCCACACCAGTGATTTAGTGACCCTACAATACTGTAAAAGATTAAAATTTGTTCTGGATTTGAATAATTTGGTTCAATTTTTGTACCTACTAACATGTCACGTAAAATGAACAAGAACTACATGGTCACAGACATATGCTGCACATTGGAATTGAAATGCATTCAATGAACTTCAGTTATAATGAACCAAAATCAGTGCTCCCTTGACTTTGTTATACCCAGAGGTTACCGTACATGTATATGACCATATAAGTCAGGTGGGCAGGATTTCATGAACTGATTTGGCTTGTACACCATGAGACCAAAGTCATTGACAGTAAACAGAATGTTGTTTACTGTCGTTAGTTGGTTGGTTTGTACTTTAACGCCGCACTCAGCAATATTCCAGCTATATGGCAGCAGTCTGTGATTGCGTCTGGACCAGACAATCCAAAGCTCATGATGTTGATCACTGGATTATCTGGTCCAGACTCAATTTTTACTGACTGCCACCATATAGCTGGAATATTGCTGAGTGCTGCATTAAACAGCAAACCAACCAAGCAACGACAGTAAACAACATACAGCTCATAAAATCTTGTTAACCTCACAAGATGCAAATGAAACACATTTATCATTACCAGTTACAAATGAGAAAGATTTTCTGGGGGCACAATATATTTCTGTGACAAATATCCAATCTTGTGACAGCCATCAAACTTTCAGTCTGGTAATTCAAAGCATGAACAAGATCAATTACAACATGACAAGCGACAACACAAACATAATGTCATCTACAAGTACCTTTAGTGATTGCCATAGTAACAAGGTCGGTGACAATAGGGTCACCATTGTTCTTGAGCACTTCTTCTTCAAAAAGCAGGTCCACATATGGATTTGTCTCCTCTACTCCCTGACCTGCCAGAAGTGCCTGGATGGATTCACATACCTACAGAAGAGGAGGGCAGAAGTTCATCAAAGATTTTTGGGTTGGGTTGGGTTGTTGTCTGGACTAGACAATCCAGTGATCAACAGCATAAGCATCAATCTACACAATTAGGATACGATGACATGTGGAAACCAAGTCAGCACGCCTGTCCATCCGATTTTGTTAGTCGCCTTTAACGACAAGCATGGGTTGCGGAAGACCAATTCTAACCCGGATCAAGGGGTTCAAACACTGTGAGTGAGTGGGTATGAGAATATGAGAGTTTAAATTTATGCTGTGTTTACCCGAAATAGGATTTAAAGCCAAAGCAAGATTACTGGTTACATAGCAATAAGCGTGTAAGAGTATGTAGATGTGGCTGCTTGGAGTATTAGTATTCCCGATTAATGGCAATGATATAGTACTACCTTGCTGTAGTGTAACATGAATACCCAACTCAGATATAATCAAAACTGACTCCGAGGCAATCAATCCTTGTTTCATTCCGAGCAACAAGCAGCATAACAACAGGAACAATCTTTCAACATCTTTCCATATGATCTGCTTAGAACACAAACTGCTAATCTGTAATGAACTGTAGACTACCTAGATTTCACGGTGCCTCAATGGATGGGATGAATTTACCTGACTTGGTTGATCCAAATGTTTCAGAATAGCATTTAAAGTGTCTTTCTTGAAATTCCTGAAAAGAAAGAAAAACAGCAATAGATTAGAAAATTTTGCTTTTCATTAGAAATATCACACAGAATGCTCACATCCCCAAAAACATAATGACGTATAATGGTACAGATTGTAAGGTTCTTTCTGACAAATAAAAAAGACAAATAACAAATAAATAAATGAGGTATATATACATCATCCATTAAAACTGAATGTACCAATACCACCGCACATACTCCAAGAACATTTCATCCTGCTTACAACATAAAATAAGGACTGACTGGACTACGCAAAGACTCATTAAGCCCAGTTTCGACCCAGTTTGTTTAGGGTGGAAACAAGATGTTGGGCATGCCGTCAACATTTTCAAAGTTAACAGAGGAATATTATTTTCAATATGGATGTGTATGTTCTATGTATGTATGTTAACACACCACAAAATAATATTCTCATCCTGCTAAAGACCTGGTATAAACTGTATGAGTCATGATATGCATATGACCTGACAGTTCTCTGACTTAGCTGTACTTCTTGTTTCGATAACCCCCCTAAGAACATTAAGATCATTATCACTAGCTGTTACCCTCCTTATGACATGGAATAGTCAAGACTTCAGGTGGAAAAAAGGACCATAAATTTGAAAACAATATTGCAACAAATCAAATTTTAAAATAAATCCCAATATGTTCCCTTAATTTCATTCTGTTCCCATCTCATATGACACCCTTCATCAGGACTGACTGACTGACTGAGTTTGGTTTTACGCCGCTTTTAGCAATATTCCAGCAACAACACGGCGGGGGACACCAGAAATGGGCTTCACACATTGTACCCATGTGGGGATTCGAACCCGGGTTTTCGGAGTGACGAGCCAACACTTTAACCACTAGGCTACCCCACCGCCCCCCCTTCATAAGGAGGGGATAGGTACATAAACCTGATGTATTACTAATTTAGAAGTTTAAAACTGATTCCATACAACAATTCCATTCTGAAAGTTTCATTTAAATCTTCATGTATATGGCATGACCAGTGTGCAAAGTATGTATAACAGATCTTGTCATTACCCTGATACTGTATGAGAAGACCTAAGAAATATAAGCTCAGCCCTTGTTTTTAAAACTGCTGAAGTTTCAAATTTCAAAAGTCTGGGATTTGATTGGAGAATGAAACCTCTGAGTTGAACAATGTCAGGCTATCTTCATTCTACTTAGATAAAATGTAGCTAAAGTCTTTTGTGATAATGAAAGTGATGAGTGACTGAAGATTCATAAAGTAAATCTCAGCATTTGTAATTGATCTCCATTTGAGTTTGAGAGAAAAGTCCTTTCAAGCAAATATATTCTTTCAGTTTTGTTTTGTGTCTACGAATTCATGATGCAACATAAATTATTTCTGCTAGTTTGAATGCTGGATTCTCACATGTCAAGGGAGAATGATAGAATTGAAATGTTGAAAAGTTAAATGTGAAGAGTGAAAATATGTCAAAACAACTGCACTGAATGTAAAAGAAGTGATCTATTACCTGTGCCAACTGTCTCCAAACAAAAGACGAAGTGAAACGGCACACAATGCTGCATAAGAGTACTGTCCAACATCAGACAAGAGTTTGTGGATAGGTTTGCTGGGTTTAAGGGAATCTGAAAAAAAACCCGAGCTTAATTTGTTACTCATACAAGGATCCTCATTGTCTCATAAATGAAAGCAATAACGCCAAAAAACACTCTTTTTCTGCTGACTTTGGAAGAAAACTATTTTGAATTAGTGAATGACCGACAACAGCATGGGAGTACAAATTAATTACCTGGGTACCCATCCCCCTATTACCAGACACATTATCCAGCACCTGCTGCAGGTCTTGAGTTGGTACAAAAGCTCCCACTAGGAATTGTTTTTATTAGAGCTCTGGTAAAAACTATTTGAGTACACAAGCTGATTATGCATATGCTACAGCAGAGACCATATAATATCTATTATATGGTCTCTGGCTACAGTTAACTGAAGCTTTATCTTTACTACATACACAAGTCAGACAAAAGGTCTGCATAGTAAGAAAGTTGCAGTGTAACAATGGAGTTTAATAGTTACTAAACCAGAGCTCCAGATAAGATTTAGCTAATGTGGGTACTGTACCCACTGTATTTTTTTTTGGAGTGGCTATTATGAATGGTGAGTGGGTATTTCATTTTCCGTTACCCACTGCTTTCAAATATTTGCATATTTCAGTCATTTTACACACCTAAGTATTGTGTCATTGAGTAAGTTTACTAAGCAGGTATGTTCTGCCTTATGTCATACCTAAAAAAAACCAACTTAAATATAATGGAAATGATTTCATAAAAAATCAGTCATCCTATACTGACAGTACAACACTTGTTCTATACTAACAGTACAACTTGATAGCAATCGATTTTTATAAGTATATTCTGTACGCATTTGTTTTAAACTCTTTGCGTATCTAACAGTTTAAATGCATAATTGGTACGCAACAATTATTTTTCAATGCATAACTGGAAATTTTCTATGCGTATTTTACCCGGATACGCAGCTTATCTGGGCCTCTGTAAACAAAATATCATAAGGCCAACCAAAGTTCCAGCTAGTCCTTTGCATATCCAGGTACCTGTCACAACCCTGATAGGCTAATATTTGAAAGAGAATTTCGTGAGACTGATTTCAAATGTTAATCGACAGTATGCTTTTCAAAGTTTTTACTGATATTTTACTGAGTTTTACTGATTTCTGCAGACTTCAAGATGTCATTACAGAGACAGTCTGTCTGTCTAAAGAATGTCTACCATTCATAATGACATTAATTTGGTCTCTCAGGATCTAAACTACCAGACCTATTGGCTGTAGTACAGTATTCTAAAATGACACAAACTGTGAGGTAGAAATTTATTCAAATGAAAATAAAACAATGTATTACACCCAAAATAAATGGATATGTCAAATGTCAAGTGTGTAATTTGCCCTCATATGTATCCGTTATGTCAGATTTGATTTACGTAATACTACAGTAATTGACGCTAAAAAAAATCTAGTTACCTTAAAAACAATTGAGTGAGTTTGAAAACAAACATGACAATGCAATGATAATGTTTAGAAAAATGTATCAAAGTGAGAGGATATGCCATAAATCCAGTGAATTCTTAATTTTGATTAATAAAATTTATCCTAACAGGACAGTCAATATAAGGGAAATATCAGCTGTGGTTGGCTTAAAACAATCATCAGGCAATAGAAACGGCTAGCATAGACATCTGCACATGGTCTCTGTTGCAAAAGTCAAACTTAGACAGGTCACTAATTTCACTAAGTTTGTGAAGTTCCACTCAAGCAACAAGTGACTTGTAAGTTGCAGATTGCATTCCCCCCAAAACTCCACTGTTGTCTGAAAATCCCGAACGAAATGCCTTATAACACATCATGCTTTTCTATGGTATAGTAAAACCGCATTGGAGGTATACAAACGGGCAGGTGGTGGTTCATGATTTCTTTGGACATCTCTTTCATCCGTTAGAACTTTCTGTTTTGATGACAATGTGTCATCAACATCGTCCCCATCCGCCATGTCGTCTGCTAATGAAGACAGCGCATGTCAGTCACTACAGCTTCCGCTTCCGCCTGCGTCACTTTCACTTCCGTCAATCTCCCAGGTAAGATCAACAAAATGCAGTCACTCAGGTGTGCCCTGTTTGTTTATTGACAAGATTCTCTGAAGCTCGCGATGACACCTTTCCAAATGATTTATGTTTAGTTTGACATGTTGTGCAGACTAAACAGTTCGTGATTTCAAGTATTCTGATTTATATGGCCGGTGTCCGCTGTCATGTGTCCTCATTTTCACAATAACTTGTTTTCCAGGTTCAGCGATGGAGTATTTATGGAAGTCGGAGGCATATCATTTGTGTATGAATAGAGTGTCAACGAAAGAGTGATTCAGATCTGGGGTCATCCACCATCATTCAGGTTGCCCTAACATGCCCGGTCGTATTAGAGGAGGACACACTTACAACTACAGCATGACGAAAAAGCAAAAACAAACGACGGAACACGATGTTATCTCAGCCAAAAAAAGGGAAGAAAGGGCTGTGAGAGAAGCGTACAAGAAGGAGAGAAAAATAGAATCATATCTTGCTGATGATGAAAATTTTCCAAGTTTTGCCACGGAGTTGGCTAAAATGGGATTACAACTACGTGACATTCCAGGCGATGGGTAAGTATTAATACTTTAGCAACAGTGTTGATATTTATTTCCACGTATAAACAGCCTTAGGTTTTCTGTCAAGTTTTTATTTTGCCTGCATATTCTTCAGATCAAGACATATATATAAATAGGTATATGACAGATCAGATAAATATTGACACTATGTATTGCAGTATGATAATGTACACTTCTGTAACAATTCCGTTATATTTATGTATGGCAAAACTTGGGAGTTGAGAACATGGACAATGGAGATAACTCTCACCTGTTAATAGTGTTATGATATCTACTCGTACTGATCTATGTGTTATTACAAAATACATGTGTGGTGTTAGAAATAATGACGTCCATCAGCAACCAGATGTAAATCTAGGGACCCTGAAATATAATATGTTTACATTAGGGCATGTGGTAAGAACCTCTTGCGGCATGACAATATATTATTAAATGATATATGATGGGATACAGATTATCATGTTTGAAAAAAACTGAAAAAACTCTTTGTGTTTGGTCAACATGCTGAGCTAAAGCAGTTGGGGGAGCATGACATCCGGGACCGGAATCATTGAATTTGTGTTCGACAGTAATTTAGATTCTATGGTGTTAACTTTTACTTTTAGGTTTTGTTTCATGCATGTTATCATAATTGCATCATCATGATGTCATGAAAACTACAGATATATGCCACATGTTCTGACCAAAAGATCATATCTGAACAAGAATTAAGCCAAACTTACTCACTCTTTACCACTTTACTGTTTTATTCAATCTTTGATATTTCCAGGACTGAGTTTGAAATCTCTATTTAACATGCATTGGAATGTGTACCTTAAAAATATAGATACATACATTATTCATATATGCAGCCTGTATTACTATGCATGCTTGAGGCATAATATATTTTTAGTCTCCAAAAGATATAACCGGGATATATTCAGGACCTCAAACTTTGTACCCCCCATGGTGTAATTCCAAAGTAACAATTTTAATGACATTCACCATGGACTGATTATCTCTCTTTAAGCAAGTCTGTTTAAAATCCTGCATAAGTTATAATTGTGTATATCTGTTGCACATCCATGTATGTTTCATTGTTTATTATTAGTTTCATACTTTATGCTCATTTTGCATGAAACTGTATTCATGGTATTTGATTCAATTAAGTCTAACCTACATACTCAGTCAGCTGTTGACAACTTGGTAGCCGTTGCCGAGATTATCATGCCTGTATGATCACTGTTTGAGGTCGGAGAGCTTGGGCTGAAACTGTGAAAGGCTGCGTCTGAAAGGGAGTGATTAATGCTTATGGCGTGTTCACATGTATAGAGAGAAGGATTTAAGTTAGTCACTATATATTTCTGAAAAAAAGATGTTTACAAGTGGAATGCGTCTTCATCAGTCAAGGTCCCATGCCTATGATAAAGTACAATGATGAGTTAAACATGCTCCAACTGACACCATACACCTGCATTGCTCTGACTAATCATTAAAGCTTTCTGGGGTGTTGGTGGCATTGTGGTTGAAGCAGTGGCTAGTCAGGCTAAAGTCCTGGGTTTCATTCCCAACATGGGTATAATTGTAACTAGTGGTGTTCCAGTTAATTGAAATAATCGAAGTGACCGATCGACCAAGTAATCAATCACATTTTCTCATAATCGAACACAAACGATTTTGGAACTTGACGAAGGAACATATCTTAGAAGTTGTCAGGGCCTGAAAACGTGTTTAATTCTTAGAAAACTCACTTCACTTGCTGAAAAGTCATGACCGAATATTTCTTGAAGACACTGGGAACTTTATGTTCTGAACTTCATGATGTAATAGTCATCACTTTAAAATAGCAAGTTGCATCATTTTACACTGGTTGTGAAATTCACAAATGCAATTTGCGCAGTTTCTAAGTAAAACAATAAAAACAAAACAATAGAGAACCACAAGTTTTTTTCTTTATACTTATCTGCAATAACAACCTGAATAGGAAAATCTGAAAAATGATGCTAACTTTTTTTCGATGATCGATCGTTGGTAATGAACCCAACACTAATTGTAACCAATGCCTTGTGTCCCCACTATGGTGTTGCAGGAATTTTGCACAGATGTGTGTAAAATCTTCATTTCAAACTTTTGAGAAATTGCGTAACTTAGGATTATTAGTGTCAGTGATGAGATGATTGATGGATGGAATTAAAGTTAGGATCTATGATTATAGCCACAAATCTGAAGCCTGAGCTTTATACATTAATTTCTGAAGTAACCATTTCTATAAAAAGTACATTAAGCACAAAACACTAGCATCTGATGAGTTGAGTGGAGAAGGGAGATTTAAAGGTTTTTGGCACAGTCCGTCAAGTCCCATTCGGTGGCTCTTCAAGGTCAACAAGAAGTATCTAGTTATCCAGAATGGGAATGGTATTTCATTACAAATGTTGTGTGATGGCATTTGTGTAGCACTTTAAATAATGAAACATGTATGAAAAGGTAAATAATGCTTGTTGGGTGTACATGCTGGTAAGAAATGATAAACAGCAATCAATAATCAGTAATGCATTAATAAGGCCTTGAAAAAATAATGTTCTGGTTCCAATTACCCGACCAACCCTTGAATTCTGGTGCCGATCCTATTTTTTTAAAGCGGTATGAATAAAATAAGCTTTCAGGTACCATTTTTGTTTTCCCGGCACCGACGGATATCGGTCATTCTGATAGAGAAAGTTGACTTGATGGCCGCAAGCTTGATTGAATATACAATTGCACATTGATAAATGTGTTATTAGTTCCTACTATACTTCTAAGAATAATTTTTGAAAAAAAATCCTACCTACCTACCCTAAATTTTATAGAGGTGTAATCAGAACCACAACATTTTTTTCATTCGGCCTAATTAGATATTGCAAACGTTTGTTGAAGCAATTAGCAGTCTGTGGCATTGCGAGTGGTGGTGATGTGTGTGTTGACAGGCTAATCATAGGCAAATCATTTGAACCGTGAGTTTGTGGTCTGTCACTGAATAATTGACGCAGCAATTACCTGTTGAGTTAAATGGTTATCAAGGTGAATGTCTAAATGATTTGATTAATATTGGTATGGTTAACCATGATTGACCCCTGACCTCTATGTTCACACTGACCTGAGAAGATAATGATACTAATAGCAGTTGTTTCACAATCACTTCGTCACAACTCTTTCACAACTGGCAGTAAGTGGTATAGTGATCAAGGTGTTGATGTCGTTAATGAATTGTGTAGGAGTAACTGACAGCTGTCAATCAACTCAGATGTGTTGAATAATGACTGGGTGTTAATTGAGTGATTGTGGTAATTTAATTGTCACTGTACACACTGTGTTTCCGTGAGGTTTAAATAAAGGCCAGTTTATGAGGTTCTAAAACACAGCAGCCTTGAAACTGTTACACATATCACTTTTGTTTGCTTGTTTGTTTGTTAACATTGCTCTCAGCAATATTCCAGCTTAGGTTGTCTGTAAATAATCAAGTCTGGACCAGGGCCCCATTCCCCATTCCTCAAAGCGATCGTAACGCTACGACAGTCGTAAGTCTATGTTAAAGTATGGGAGTTACGATCATCATAGCTCTATGATCGGTTTGAGGAACGGGACCCAGGGCCTCGTTTCACAACGCTATCGTAGCGCTACGACTGTCGTACCTCCTACACTGTAACATAGACTTACGACAGTCGTAGCAGTTCGATAGCTTTGTGAAATGGGTCCCTGGTGAGGCAGTGACTGATATCAGACAGACAGACAGAAGTTTGTTCAATATTTCAGGCCATATGACCTATAGTACAGTTGTGGAGGGTTTTTTTTTGACATTGTACAGTCACTTGGAAATATAAATATAATATATTAACGTCTAATTTCAAAAATTGTTTTAAGGAATATTGAAACAGATAATGACATTTCATGAGTTTAACAAGTTTTTCATTTGTTGTTCATCTTTGTACACAGTTGAGATCATAGGGAGGTAACTGTTTCTAAGAAATTGATAATGTTTACAAATATGAAAAGTACTTGAAACTCATCCTCGACAACCTTCATTACGCTAAAGGCGTAAACTATTATATTTATCATGTACATTTTTCTTTCTAAGATTATTCATATTAAAATTGTATAATGATTTTCATAGTTTACAGAAAGCTCTTCTTAAAGTTCTATCTTGTAGTTCAGATACATATTTTTCAGGAACAAGTAATGATTTTATATTTGCATAAGGACACAGAAATCTTGAGGATGATATTTGACAGTGCCAGTTTTGTGTAAATATGTCACTTAATCTTCCAGGCTTAAGGATAAAGGTAAATAACTTATCATTTCCAACATTGAGATATCCAAGCATTGGAAAAAACAGAATAGTTCTTTTATCAGACACCCAAGAATCTTTCCCATTATCATCCAATCTTTTTAACATGTTATATTAAAGCACAAAATGGTAAATCTTTTTGAATTCATACGACATAGCTTAACCAATATTTGACAGCCCGTAACTGTGATGAAACAAAGAGACTTGTGCTGCCAGTTTCTCCTAAAATAGCTTTGTTAGAGGCATATTTACCAACACCTAAGAGATGTTTAAAATCGGTATGATGTTGCATGTGTGATTCAAATATATTTAAATGTTTTACTGTATTTTATATGATTCTCATAAGCCAAAATGCCAAATGCTATGTAAATGTTTTAATCATGTCATCATGTACTGCTTATTAGCATGTGACACAGTAATAAAATATTTTTCTTCTTCTTCTTTAAAATATAAAGCATTAATTTTTTCAGTGGAATCATTGTATTTAACTCCCCGTATTTCAGAACCATAGAGACGAATTGGTGCTATTAGTCTGTCAACGATTTTGTAAACATCTCGGAAAGCTCTAAACTTATTTTCTTCATATACCTTATATAAGGGAATCAACTGCATGGCTTTAGATGCTTGCAGGTAGCGGAAGATCCCAGATAGCATTCAGACGTTGGCCCAACGTTGGTAATGGTTTTGCCAACAT